ACTGAAGTTTGCGGGGCACTCAATGCGGCTGCTACCGCCCTGGTCGGCGGGGTCCTGGCAGCTGGCAGGGGGGCCGCAAGCTGGTATGGGGGTGGCACTGCTGCACACGCCCAGCCCGGCCTGGGCATGAAGCAGCCAAGGAGCTATGGAACGGCAGCTGGTGGGGACAGGCGACCAGGCTGGGGCTGGCATGGAGGCAGGGGCAGCATGCTCTGTTAGCTGCTGTCGGTGTCCTACGGGGTGCTGTGGTTGGCAGCCCGGCCAGGAGGCTGGCGAGCGCTGAGTCGAGCCCACGGGAGGAGCGGGCATGCCCCGCACCTACCCTCCTCCCCCTATGGAGGACTGCCGCCACGCCGCTTCTTGTTGTTGATTTCACCCCTTCCCCCACCTACCCTCTTCCCTCCGGCCTCTTGTCTAATCAGTGCCGGGGGAGCTCAGGAGACCCTCCTCCTGCTCAGCAGGGAGCTTGGACCCTGGTGCAGGCAGCGCCCCACCCAGCGCTCTGCCTCGCTCCTGCTCTCAGGTGTTTGTACAGGGCTGCCAGCCAGCTGCACTACCACGCCGGCCCCTCCGCACTTCCGCAGCACCCCCGGGAGCTGCTGGCCGCAGAATCCCTTGCAGCGGCTGCAGGCGAGCCCTGGCCTGGTGGCTCCTCTCTCTCCTCTTGCAGGGGAGGGGCCCCCACTTCACATCGAACCCTCTCTCTCCTCCTGCAGGGGATGGGAGCCCGCGGCACCCCGCTTCACACTGGGGAAAGGTGTGAGCAATGGAAGTAGGGGGACCTGGGCCACTTTCACCCCTCCCCCAGGGCGCTTTGACGTTTCCACTCGTGCTGTGGGGAAGGGACACGAGGATTTGGTGGGGAGAGGGAAAGGTGACGGAGTTCAGTCAGTGGGGGGAGGTGGGAGAGGGGAGCAGACTGGGTCTGGTTGAGACCGGGGGGATCAGGTTTGGCTGGGAGGGAAGAGGGCGCAGGGTGGATTAGGTGGGCGAGAGAAGGGGGGCGGACTGGGTCCGGTCACTGAGGGGTCGGGTTTTCCTGGGAGGGGAGAGAAGGTGGAAACTGGGTTCGGTGAGTGCATGTTTGGGAGGTGAGGGAGGGGATGTGTGTGAAGGGGAGACAGGACGTAGGCTGGGTTTGGCTGGAGGGTGTGGTGGGAGTCAAAGAGCCGGAAGGTGAAAGGGGCGCTTTCCTCCTCAGTGCATGTCCTGCAGCAGCGGGCCAAGGGGAGGGGGAGGAGGTGCCAAAAATGTTTTGCTAGGGGCGGCAAAAAACCTAGAGCCGGCCCTGCCTGCTTCTCCCGGTCCCGTCTGGCTCTGCGCTGTCCCTGCACCCTGCTCCCCCTGGGTGGGTTGGGAGTAAGGGGTGCTTGTCCATAGGGAGGGGCTGGACAGGGCAGGGAAAAGGCTGTTGTGACCCAGCAGTGAGTGAAAGGGGAGAGAGAGTTTACTTGAAATGCCTTTGCCTTTATGGAAAAAAAATAATTAAAATTATATTTGCTATTTATAGGGCTAAAAATGCTGGGACAAAAATGAAAACAAAATAAAAAACATTGCAAAGTGGAAACGTGTAAAAGCCAACCAAAAAGAAAGTGAAGGGGGGGGCGGGTGTTTGCTTGGGGTGGCAAAAATCCTAGAGCTGGCCCTGAGGATAGGCAGACTCTAACACAACTTTGCTTCTCCCATGACATGTTACTTGAGTGGGACTGGCTTCAGGTTTGAGGATCAAGGCATAAAAGAAAGCATAAACCATGAAGGCTTAGAGGCCCTACCAAAAAAAAAAAAAAAAAACATAATGGGCTTAATTTGTTGTCAAGTGAAGTTAGATAAAGCTTGTTTTGACCCATAGAAAATTCTTTTCTTACAAAACTGTGGTTAATGAGCATGTCCTTGGAATTGAAGACTAAGAACCTCGCTGGTTTGTACCAGGATGTTAGACACTGTTATTGAAGGAAATTTCAAAAGGAGTTTTTATTTAGATTGCAGGCTCATTGAGGCTGGGGATGTGCTCTTAGGTGGGGCCACAAATTCAAACAGCTCTTTATAAAAACAGACTATTTTGTAATAAGTTGAGAGAAATGATTTTGTTCACTGGATCTCTAGACATTACAGATTTGCACCCTCTAGTGGCCAAGATTAGGTTCAAACAAAGGGAAAACAAGATCCAGCATAGGTGTTAAAAGAAAGCTTATGCCCAAGTAAATCTGTTAGCATTTATGGTGCCATAGGGAGCATATGAAAATACTCAGGATGTATTTTCATTACATACATACAACTCCTCATCATTCCTACATACAGCACACCGTATTACTGACCGGCATGATCCTGGCTTTTGTTTAAGGCCTTATACAACACTTTTTATAGATAAATACTATAACGGCAATATATTACCTGTAGTGAGTTTGTCAGGCCTACTAGGGGTTGCTGTTACACAACAGTGAACCCTTTTCCAGCTGGAATTAGAGTTCTGAGATCCGAGTGTAAATATACTCTAAAACCATTTGCATGTAACACTTTAGACTTTACACACACACACACATGCATGCTTAAATTCTCATGCATTGTTCAACTTTTTTCAAAATGTGAATATAATTTTTTTGCCCTTCATTACACTTAGTCAGAAGTATCGTACACAGGCTTTTACGTGGTGGTCTCTAAGATTTGTATTTGTACACCTAACGTCACACAGAAAAATATACGAAGGATTTGTGTGTAGAAAACTGTATTTCTGGGTACAAGATCATCGTAAAGACTATACTATAGTAAAGATTTGTGAATGGAAATCCATTGCTTTTGTTAAAAAGCACAGGCTTAATATGTTCTTTGCTGGATTGGGGCCTGGTAGTATCTAACCTGATATTTGCACACCTGTTAATTCCCACCTGCCTCTCCCCTAACAACCAACATTAAATGTGTAATATCCCTTGTTCTTTCAGGCCATGAGGGTGATTGATGGGTGATTG